GCCTCCCAAGTAGCTGGGACTACAGGCGCCCGCCACAACGCCCTGCTGTTTTTTGGTTGCAGCCATTATTGTTGTTTGGCGGGCCCAGGCTAGGGATTCGAACCCGCCACCTTAGGTGTATATGGCTCGCGCCTTAGCCACTTGAGCCACAGGCGCCGAGCCCATGTAATTTATTTTCATTTGCACTATAAGCTATATATCTGCTAAACTTATCCATTCTATATTGAATCTCTGATCTTCCTTCATAGAGAAAAATGTATATATTTTTCTCTTATTCCAATCATGGGCTCTATCTCTCCTAAAAGCAATACCTTTGCCATTAAAGATTTTTTTTTTCCTAAACCAATACATATTAACAATTCTAAGCATCTAAGGAAGCAACACTTTGATGTAAGGGCTATTCAAGCAAATTCTATATATAAGATTTGACATTTCCTTTGTCCAGGTATTTGTAATGAAAAGATGACTTACAGTTTCGAGTGGGAAAGGAAGATAAAACTACACCTTTATCTATAGATATATAAAAGTCAAAGTAGGCCAAACTTCTGAGGGTTTGGCATGAGCTCTGAATACCCACCATATGTGCCTGACACACAGTTATTTGTTGAAATGCATTATTGGCTTATAATAGACAGCTTTTTCATCTGTTTCATTTGTCTATTTGTGTGGACATCCTATTGGTTAAAGGTTACATGGGAATGGATAAAATCCAGCATTAAATTTCAGGCACTATCTCAGGAATAAGTCCTCTGCCTGAATGTCACTCGTTAGCCAAAATGGTGAGATGAGCAGGGTCTGATCTACAGCATTTCTTCTCTGTGACTCTTGGCAGCCAATTGTGCTGAGAACTGGTGATGAACATGGTTTCATTCTCTGCATTGCCTCCTTCCATATTTTGACACTGCCAGCAAGACCCAGTATAGTTCTATTTATGACTTTTCTTTTTCTGAATTCCTAATGGGTCTTTGGACTCAAAATAGAATGAGCCTCAAATGATAAAAATGAACTTACATCATGACTTTTTAATATATGTATAACATGGAGAAATGAGTGAAACATTTTTTTCTCCCAAAAAAGATAAACTAATAAATTCTCTAGTGCCATGAAGATTTTTATTTATTTATTTATTTTACTGATACATAACATTTGTGCATATTTATGGGATACATGTGGTATTTTGTTACAGGCATACGTGTGTAGTGACATACTCTGTGTACATGGAGTATCCATCACCTTGAATATTTTTCATTTCTGTGTGTTGGAGACAGTTCAGATCCTCTCTTCTAGCTAGTTTGGGATATACAAAGTGTTGTTTTTATGGTCACTCAACTCTGCTATTGAAACATAGAACTTATTTCTTCTATCTAACTATATGTTGGTCCCCATCCTGAGTCCTCCTTTTATCCCTTCAATCTCTACCCTTACATCTTTTCTAGCCTCTTGTATCTGTCATTGGACCCGCAATCACCATAAGATCAACGTTTTCAGCTCCTCCACTTTAGTGAGAATGGGTGAAATCTTTCTTTCTGTACCTGCTTATTTCAGTTAACAGAACGGCCTCCAGTATCATCCATGTTGCTGCAAATGTCTTGCTTCCATTCTTTTATATGGCAAAATAGTATTTTATTGTGCATATATACAACATGTTCTTTGCCCATTCATCTCTGATTTCATACCTTTATTACTATGAATACTGTGATAATAAACATTGTGGTGCAAATAGCCCTTAGATAGAGTGATTTTTTTTTTCTTTTGATAAGTATGCACTAGTGTTTTTGTTGTCGTGTTCAAGTGTAGTTCTGTTGTTTTTTAAGCCTAAATACCTTTTTCCATAGTGGCTGTACTAATTTGCACTTCCAACAGTGTATGAGAGTTCCCTTTTCTCCACATCTTCACCAGCATCTGTTATTTTTTGGTTTTTTGTTAATGGCCATTCTAATAGATGTGAGGTGATATTTCACTGTGGTTTTGATTTGTATATTCTTTATGATTAGTGATGTTAAGTCTTTTTTTCATGTAACTGTTTGCTATTTGTCCTCTTTTGAGAGGTGTCTATTTATGTCCTTTTAAAATGGTGGTTTTTTTTTTTTTTTTTTACTGTTGAGTTCCTTGTATATACTGGATGTTACTGAAAATATTTTCTCCCTTAGAATATGACATTTAGCCCCCTGTTTCTTCACGCTACTGATTATTTCCTTTGCTATGAAGAAGGTTTTTAATTTAATATAGTCTCATTTGTATATTTTTGTGTTGATTACATGTACTTTTGAGATCGTAGCCATAAAATCTTCGCTTACACCAGTATCCTAAAATCCTTCCTCTATGTTTCTTCTAATAGTTGTATAGTTCAGTTCTTACGTTTAAGTCTTTAATCCACCTGCAGTTGATTTCTCTGTGCGGTAAGATAGGGTCTAGTTTCATTCTTCTGCACTTTGATAACCAGTTTTCCTGTGCTGCAGAAGAGAGGCCTTTCACAAAGTCATGTTCTTGGTGCCTTCCTTGGAAATCAGTTGGCTGTAAGCACATGGTAAGCATGTGGGTTTATTTCTGGGTCCTCCATTCTCTAACATTTATCTGTGTATCTATGTTTATACCAATACC